CGGGGCGCTAACCCGACGGTTGGTTCCGCTTTAGCTTTACCCCCTAATCGCCTTTACGTCTCCTAAGAAGACGGAGATAATTCGCGGAGTCCTTACGTCATAATAGAACATCAACAATGAAAATCGTGTCGCGCTCGATTAGCAAACTCGATTAGGGAGATCGACAGCCAACTGCCACTGCACCAGTTGTATATCATTACTGCCGGATCTACTACGATGACTATACTGATTACAACACCATTGCCATCACTGACACTACTGATACTGCTGATATTACTGACGTTACTTCTTGTACTACACTATGTCTCGACTGCACCTTCGGTCGTCGAGGGAAATTTTCAGTAAACTCAAAAAATGCAATTCCATTCAAAATTGTTAAATATTTTGAAAGTATAGAGTTAATTTTTTTAACGATTATTCGCGTAAAAAATCAAGTCAGGTGCTTTTCCACGTATAATATGTATAGGTACTATTGTCTTTGACTGAAATCGAGAGGATCCGTTTTCGATTCCGTTAAATTTTAGCGTATAGAAAACTTTTTCCTGACGATCCGACGAGTGCGACTCGTGCAACTACAACGTGAATTATTCAGGCCCGTTTTTACCCTGTGCGCCACCACATGTCTCACCACCACAGACATTAAAGAAATCTAACGTTATATAGACAAAAATTCTCACGACATACATATACATGACGTGAAAATGGACCTCCAGCTGAAAATGAATCAGTCATCGCTGCTGCTGCTGCCGCTGCTGCTGTTACTGCTGCTGCTATCGCCGCCGCTACTTGCCAGTGTTGATGCGAAACGGCTCATACACGATCTAACAATCTGCGCGGCAATTGCTGTCACGCAAACGGACATCATTATTACATAAACAAACCATTGCATCAACTTTGCATTGATACCTTACTAATATATATTAACGTATTGATATTTTGGCAATCTTTATTTCTTAATATGTATCTTTATCTTAGTACCGATTTTTAAATTCCTGGTGTTGGTCTTACTATAATTTTTCCGTCCTTTTTCCTTATTGTTGCGCAAACTGTTGGGTCACTTGTAGGAACCGCTTAACGAGATCGGACTTGCTCTCGTGTATTATTAACAGCTGTTGTTCAGATAGTATATTCGATTGTGATCGATTTGTTTCTGTTTTCTACCTCGCCTTTTTCTCTGATAAATCGGTTACCTATACACTCAAATACTCATCTTCGTCCTTCCATCTCTCTCGCGCCCTTTTTTTTCTCTCTCTCTCTTTCTCACTTACTCATTCATTCACTCTCCCTCTCCCTCTCCGTGTAGAAAGTCTCAGATACTTTCTGTCATCCAAACGAAACGCTAGATGCGTTCGCGTGTAACGAAGTACAACAATGGCATCTAACGTGTGGGAATAGTCTGCTTTCGAAATTTCCTCTCGCGGCCTTTCATACTCTTTCGCAGATATGATGAAATTTAAAAGTGTACCGAGTACAATTTCATCTATCCAACTGTCATTGCGTCTGCTTTCGTATACGGGACATATCGGAATAATTAGGACGGTCTTAGGAATTAGGCATCGCGACAGTTTTTGATAATCGCAAGTGCATTATTGTATTATTTCATTCTAAAGCCAGTAGAATTTATAGGAAGTAATAACCTACATTCTATATGATAGTTTACGTAACTAACTTACTTCTAGCGCAACAAGACAAATTATGTTGATATAATATTACGCAAAACCGTAATCATTATCGTCATAATCCTCGGCGGTAATAGCCGTCATCAATTAAGCAATCGATATATCATAAAGTGATTTCTGGTCGCTATAAAGCGATTATGAGCGAATATTGATTTCAGCCTCACTTTCGTCATCTGTCTCGTTAATCATTGAAAGTGTCACGATGTCGCGCTCGTGTCGCAATTAGCCCGATCGATCCACACTCCACAAGATACACGCTGTAATTCTCTGGACTGTGTACTTTATCTCTTTACTGTACACTGTATACTGTAGCCACTCGCGAAGCTTACAGCTGTGTCGCTTTCAGTCTACATGTAAAAAAAAAAGAAATTTATGTATATACACAATATATATTTATAACTACATACATATGTATCTTTTTATGTATGTATATATTAACATGTATTTGTCTATCGAGTGTACAGTTGGGGACAGAAAGGTTGTCTGGTTGAGTTTCAGAACGCACCCCATTTGGAAGTGGATGAGCATTAATGCACACAGCTTGATTCATTATAAGAGCAGACAAACAAGATGTCAAATATATTGAAATGTTAAAATAATTGGTAATTGCTGACATAGTGGATGGATATTAAATACAAATAGGAAGCATTCCGAAACTCAACCGGGCAACCTTTCTATCCCAAACTGTACATATCAAGAAAGTATATACTCCGTAACTCTCCGTAAACGCTTATGACAGTATATATCTGTCTGTCGTAACTTGTTTTATTCCTCTCCTCTCTCTTGACCTGTTCTCTTCTCTCTCACTTCCTCTCTCTCTCTCTATATCTGTCTACTTTTTGTTTCTCTGTATCTCTTCTTGTTTCTTTTTTTTTTTTGCAATCTGTGCATTGAACATGCAACTACTCTCTGTCGGCCGTCGTCTTACCAAAGTAGATACTGTTCCCGCTTTGTCTTTGAGTCGCTGGCCGAAATGTAATGTGCGCGGTGTATATACGTTATCAGAAGAAATTATATGTGTACTGATATATAAATAAAACGTGTATGAGAATCGAGAATCAATCGTCTAATTGAGAGCTCGGAACGAAATAGATTAACAAAAAAGCGAGATGTCGCAAAAAAACTCCGCTCGGCGCGATCGCGCCAATCACGCTAATCGCCAATTAGCACGATTAGCGAGAGTAATTAGCAGTGACCATCATTATCGTCATTATCATCATCGTCGTCATCGTCATCCTGGCCGGCTAGCTATGTATTCGCCTAAGACGTATTCGACTCTCGAGAAACGCGTCGGCGACGGTCGTTTGAGATGCGATTTATTATCGTCTGCGTTGTCACATTGGAAAGAACACGCGAAAGCGTGAAAATTATTAGAATTATCCCGAAAAATGTTCAATTTTTTTGCAATAGCAAATCACTTTCTCATTTTTAAGCTCGCTTTACGACTCTTCTTGAAAGATTATCTTGGAAGGTTGATTTTTCTACTCTAGGGAAATAAGCAAGAAGCAATCTGATTTAAGGGGTAAAGCCACTCTAGAATTTTCAAAAAATTGATTTTTTTTTGTTAAACGATGCTTTAAGGTCTTAGAAATAAGGTACACTTGGTTTCAAAGCTCGGGAAAATCTCTATTATCCCTTTTTTGTAATCCGTCTGCCGCCGCGTTCACATCTGTGAATGGTGAAACTGAAACTTTAAACGCGTTTTTCTCGAAATCGCTTTTTTAAAGTCGGGCGGAATCAGAACTCGAACACCTTTTATCCGATTGACTTGAAATTTTGAGTGAAACTTTGCAATAACATTATCTTTAGAAGTACCTAAGGATTTTGCGATAAGTTGAACAAAACTTTTTTTATAAACAATTTTGTGCGACATTTTTTAGCGAAAAATGAAGCACTTTTTTCCAACATGCACCATTCTTACAAAAAATGATATTTCGCAATTCCCCTAGGTACTTCTATAGAAAAACTTATATATTTTTCAAAAATCTTTGAATTTTTGTTCCAGCTCAGAAATTATAGGAGCTTTGATTCCGCCCGTTGGACGCCTTCCGCAAAAAGGCACTTTGGAGCAATAGCTCTGGTGCCGCCATTTTGGCAATAAATAATTAATAAAAAATTTTTTTTTATACTTTAATATATAGATAATAAATAGAATTAAACCGATTTTCATTCATGATTATTGTATTTCTGAAAAAAATTATCAAAAATTGGCTTTTTTGGGGGGACTCTAGAGTGGCGTTACCCCTTAATCTAATAATTTTTACTTCTATTTCTTATTCACGGAGAAAGCTCTTCCGGAGGCGGCGTCTCTAGTTCGCCAATCAATCATCTCTCTCTCTTTCTCTTTCTCAACGTCGCCGACGCATCTCGTCTATTTACGCTCCTTTAGGATTAGATCGTCTCATCAGTCGTCATTACTCTTAATATCGTCGACATCAATGTTCGTTATCGTTGTTATCTCCCTATTCTCTCTATAATTTCTAACGTAAGCGATAAATGCAGAAACCGGTTGCAGTCGTGGCTGATTAATCATAATTGCGGTGCGAGGGAGATTCAATTAGAACTGATAATTGAGAAATTGGAATAGCTTGATGCAGGCCTCTCGGTTGTTAAATCGAACACTTTTCGAGAATTCGGATTATCCGAATAACTGTCGTTAGTGATTCGTCGTTTCTTAAGAGAATCTGTTATTAATATAAAAAATAGTTAATGATCAAATAATTAATAGCACTATAAAACAGCATGACTGCAATCGGTCTATGAAGAAGGGGGTGAGCGATTATGGTTACATCGTTGCGATTAGGGGATTATGTACGTATAATTGGCAGAGATATCACAAGATCTGCTTCTGGATTTTCATTTCAGTTCTCTCATCGTTCTTATTAACCTTCTTACTATTTTTAACATTATTATTATTATTATTTATTATTATTGTTATTATAATTCCTTATTATATTACCTATTCGTTTGACGTCAATGGATATATTATTATCTGTTCATTACGCACGGCACGTTCTGTCGAGGGGCATCATTTTCCAGATTCCGGAAAATTTTTTTTTTATACACTGACAAACGCAACTTGCGGTAAAGTTGCGGCAAACGATTGGCGAATTAGCAGTCTTATAATTGAATTATATTACTATTACGAATGATTCTGTTCCCGCATAAAAGTCACCGTTTCTGACTCGATGGGACGTGTCCGTGCGATTTTGTTGCTTTCTTGTCTGTGACTTTGTTCCGCAGTTAATTCTCGCACGCATCTACTGAGAAAAACGATTCTTTCGTTTCCGTTAATGTGTGGCACCTTCGAACCTGTCGTAGAGCGAGGAGATCGGAGCGAACACTCTGACGATGTTAGACCACCAAGGCGGTAAGCAGTCTCCCAGTAAACACCAATAAGTCGTTGTCTTTTTCTCTCTCTCTCTCTTTCTCTTTATCTCTCTATCCTGCGAAGAACGAGCGAGCGATGCGATAGTTCAATGAGTACAAAATATCATATATACATCGATATAAGGAAGAATAAGAAGAATAACGCATAACAAGCGGAGAAAAGAGGGGGAAAAAGCCGATGGAAAAAAGGGAAAAGGTGCGAAGCGTAGGACGGCCTTCATTAGCTGTTAATTTGCGTTTCCCTTCGGGAAGGGCATGCTTCTGATGTTGTGATTATTACCGCGGAATCCCGATAGAGTCACGCGAAATGAAGAATCGACTGCGAACGGTCAACTGGATGATCGCTCGTCCTCGAACATTCCAGGATCTTGTTTGCGTGTCTGCAATTGAGAAATACCTCAATTGTATTTTGATTTCATTAATTAGTGTGAGATTTATTTATTTATTTTTTATGCAAACGAGCGAGGATCCCGCGATGACGAGAGCGGCTCTCTCGCGTCGTCAGCGGATGAGTCGAAAGATCAATGACGTCCCGTCGATGTCAAACTTATAATACTTTAGCGACATTGTCGCTTTTAGGGTCCCACCTAGTATTAGGGCACCCGACGGAACTCCATTCGTTACCCCGATCTTGTCCCCCGATCTCCCCGATACCGTATCTCCAGTACCGTATCTTTCAGTGGCATGATACTCTATCGATGTTTATTGCGCGGGACACTCGTCGGCAGAGTATGCCGCTATCCTTTTACCTTTTTCGGCACTTCTGTCTCTCTCTCTCTGTCTTTCTCGCCTTCGCCACTTCCTCTTTGGCTTTGCTCTGCTCTGATGTCCATTTACTTCTTTGAAGTGCGGAATTATCACTTGGCGGAATCGTTTGCACTCAGAAATCTGATATTTATCACTCGCAACGAAAAGCATATTGTTGGAGAAAATACTTCTGTGAAGTTAACACCTTAATTTTGGAATTTTAATGTAATTGATGGAGTTCTAGCCCTTTCCTAAAGAGTTTTAGAGTTCCTGATAGGTTACAAAAAGAGTTATAGCCTAATTGAGAAATTTTTAAGTTCGGAAAAAAGATTTTTTTTAACTGTTTTTTTTTTTAATTTCTATATAGCACCTCAAGAGTTCCATCGAAAAGTATTAAGACACAAGATCGATTCAGATTAAAATTAAAAAATTATTATCGTCAATTTTCGAATCATGAATCGTGAAATTGGCACCCCAAAACTTCGAACCGCTCTTTTTTTGGGTTAAATCACTAGAACCCTTCAAGACCTCTAGAACTCTTTAGGGAAAGGCTAGAACTCAATTCCATCAATTACATCAAAATTCCAAAATTGAAGTGCTAACTTCACAGAAGTGGAGAAAACTTGTTCTTTATATACGTAAGTGCGAAAGATTATCAACATTGAATTCATGAAAATGTTACGGAAAACTGCGTAGGTTTATTCCATTTTTGTCTCATCTCACTTTTCATTCTCCAGTGTTTATAAAGTATCGCTTGCTTTTAGGCCCCTCCTACTCATGACTGAATTTTCCATTCATCCTCTAGGATTCGCAGGAAGTATAATTAGCACGAAATCTACGCATTTCCTATTAATTACCAGGACCTTTCATCGAATACTCAGCCAGGTGAAAATCTACACATCGCCACTCTTGTCGCCACCCTCTTTAGATCTTAACAAATTATAATTGCTACTAATTATACTTAGCGTAAAAACGTGACTGCGTCTTCGTTCATCCAATCCTCCTAAAATTATAATTAGATATTCCTCCTGAATAATTAGATTAATTAATTAAGAATAAAAGTAATCGGGTGAACTTTTCTTTGTACTCGTCCCCTCCTCATCATTTCTAAAATTCCCTCCTCTTTTTTATCGTTGAATCCTATTTTTGCCACGTGTCAGCATTTACCGCCAACTGTCAAGCGTTACGTCGTCATCCACCCTCATCCATCCACCCTCCTGATATGCATAATAGATTAATTAGCTGAGGTCGAAACTCGTCGTTCGCGCCCTCTCGCCACTCCGACATTCTCATCTCTATCTCTTTCTCCATCATTATCTTTCTGCCTCACGTCTCTCCCTCGTTTTTACCCGCGTTCGGTATCGGTGAATGTTTTGCGGGGAGAACCTTTTCTCTTTTATTGGGGGGGAAGGGGTGAGAATCACCGCGGAGGCGAGGGAGCGTCCTGACGGCGATTAACTTTTCCTCGATGTTTAACACGCCGCCTGATTGCCTGTCGGTTGCCTGTTTAGAGCCACGAGGTCGGGATGAAATCCCTCGTAATGCTGGACGAGCAAGGCGGTAAGCCACTTCACTCAAGCATCTAACATAAACAAATAGAGAGTTTTGCGCGAGAGGAAAGAGAAAAATTTCGAAAGAACGTACGAAAGAGATCCTGGCGTGCGCGGCCCTCGTGGCCGTTACGCCGGTCCCGGCCGACACTGGAAGCGACAACCGGCGATATGAAAAATATCAACATTTTACAGTGTGCACAGAACGTACCGGGGTACCGGGGATAAGAATAGTACTCATCCGTACTTATGATTTCGTTGCTATAAATATTTGCCGATCCCTTGCCTCGTCAAACTAAAAATATTGGAGACCTTGTAAACGATACCTAAAAGATAACAAGTACCGATTGATCCCCCTCGGTTTTTTACGTACTGCTGTTATTAATTCTCAAAACGCCTCGCTTCTGCTACGTAGAATTAAAATAATTAGACTGTCGGGCCGGGTGTTTATATAGCGGGGAAGACACGGAGAATACTCTTCTTATCCGCCGTGCGATTAATACGCGACGATATCTCATGAGCGTGGCAATTGCGAGCGATAGCTCGCGCGGTTTTGCTAATGGACGGAAGTATCGTTTTCCTGCACGCGCATCTCTCCGCCTCACACATCTGTTCACGACCATCGCGCATCGCTCTGAAATATCGTCGCGTATTTCTGACATGTCCTGCATACAGATTGCTTCTGGGGAAGGGGACTGGTAGCAGGACTCCGATTCCGAGGCAGTCGATTTCCCGTAATTCGAAAAATGTTACGCTTTTTGCTCTAATCCGTCGAGAAGCGACTTTTCGGCATCCATTATAACTTTATTGCTCGCCTCGTTCTCTAACTTCTCGATTCCTATACTGATACAGCCATTAACCCTGAGCGGAAGCACTCCAGTCTATCTTGAAATCATTCTTTTTTCTCTCACGAAATTATCTGTGAGTGTTGTAATCGTAACGACCGACCAAACAATTCAGATTAGGCGCCGGAATACCGATCGGGGAAAATCAGATATGAATCTGCCGACGCGAGAAACGGGGCCCCGTTACTCGCTTATTCCTTTTCGCTGAGGAGATAATAACACGCGACACTCACACGTGCATCATCAACACTTAACTTGTTTTATACTTATCGATCAGGGGTGTAGCCGGTATCTTTGGGCCAGAAAAGGAGAATATTCCGGGATGATCTCTTGTGTGAAATAAATGTTGGAGAAAATCTTGAAATCTTGCCTTTTGTTTTACCATCGGTTTTTATTTTATTTTATCGCTACACCCCTGTTATCAACAATGATGTGTACTGTATATATACTCGTATTTAGTGGTATTACATACTGTCCAGCAGCGTACAATCAGACCATTGTTATACCATTCATATACATTTCACCCTCACCGTCCAAGCGCGGTGGTCTTCGTTTTTCTTTTCCCTTTTTTCTTCTTTTTGGCAGACTCTGACTTCCTCGCGCGCTTCTTTGGTTCTCTTCCGCTCTTCTTTCCGCCCTTCTTTCTTCGGCTTCTCTCGGGCTTCCGGCACTGCTGTCTGCGTATACTTTCTCTTCCACACTGCATACTATACTAATATAATGTGGTTACGATACTTACTTTCCGCCATACCTTTCTCGTGTCTCCCTCGTCCTTTTTCCGGTTTCCTCAAGTCGTTCTTGACTCTCGTTCCTCCCTTCCGCATCTTTCGAGATTTTTGCTACCTCGGGATTTGTTGCGCGTCGCACGATTTTTGGGTACATCGACGCGTTAAAATCAGACATTTCTAAATCTTTGGATATATTATAAATCTCAGGCCACGTATTTTACATTCTTGGTTAGGTTAGGTTTGGTTTGGTTTGGTTTGGTTTGGTTTGGTTTGGTTTGGTTTGG